TATTTTTGATATTTATTTTATATATTTAAATGCCATTTAACAAAGAAGAATCAACCAAAAAAATGAGTTCACGTGTTACCTCTGACACGCGTGTCATAGGTTCGCCATCATTGGTCTAGGCTGAGCCCCACAATGAGCTCTTGACTGCAGGGCTGAGTCCATGGCTCCTTTAAACTCTTCTCCCTTCTTGTCACCCTGGTTGGCTCCCACTTGCCCACCTTTAGATGTTTCAATGTGAAGATCTCTCAAACATGTTTGTGTGTTGAACAAAGAATTCTTTGTTGAATTATAGCTATTCAAATTGTTGAAATTTCAAGGGGCGAGACCAAGGGGATCTCTCACACCATCATTCCTCTGACATCACAGGTTACCAATTTAAAAACTTGTATATCTAACATATACACTTGATGCTATACCTTTCCCTTTATGCACTGCTTTCACTGCATCCCACAAATTTTGATGAGAGGCATTTTCATCTTCATTTTATTTAAAATATATTAAAATTTCTTTTGAGATTTCTTTATTGACCTATAAGTTATTTATAAATGTGTTGTTTAATAACACATTTAGTATTTGGGGGATTTTAATAACACATAGTATTTGGGGGATTTTCCAGTTGTCACGTGCTTATTAATTTCTGTTTAGTCCTATTATGGTCTGAGGACATATTTTGTATGATCAACTATTGTTTCAAATTCATTAACGTGTGTTTTGTGGCCTGGGCTATGTTCTGTCTTGGTTACTGTTCCATGTGAGCTAGAACGGAGTGACAAAATGTATATTTTATTGTTTGGGATAAAGTCAGTTAGATCATGTTGAATGATAGTGTTGCTCAGGTCATCCATATACTTACTGACTTTCTGCCTGCTCGATCTCTCAATACTGAGAGAGGAGCATTGAAGTCTCCAACTACAATCTGTCTGTTTCTCCTTTCAGTTTTATCAGTTTTTGTTGTATGTATTTTGATATTCTTTTGTTAGATACATACATGTTTCAGATTGTCTCTGTAGTATGATTTTGAACCCATCTAATGAGTTCTTAGTCTCAGCTCTAGAATGCCCTTTCAATGTATGTGTGAGTGTCTATATGTACATGTGTGTACGTATATACATGTATCGGAGGGCCCCAAGAGCATTCCCAGGTTCAGTGACTCATTGGGGTGACTCATTATGTAGTTGTACTTATGGTGGTGACTTATTTAAGTGAAAGGATACAAAGCACAGTCAGCATAGGGAAAAGGCACATGGGGCCTAGACCAGAGGAAACCAGGCACAGGATTCTAAGAGTCTTCTCCCAGGACACACTTAGTCCTCTAGCAATGAGCTATGACAACAAACATGAAATGTCTGCCAGGAAAGCTCCATAGACACTCAGTGCTCAGAGTTTTTATCAGGGGATAGTCACATAGGTACTCTTCTGCTCAGCACCAGATGCAACGCACATGTACAACATAAACCACATTGTTTGCATAAATAGTCTAGGCTCAGCGAACCATTGTTATTAGAGAACAAGAGGCCCAATGCACGAATTCATGCATGGGTAGGGTCCAGCCGGCCCATCCCAATGGGGGCCCATCGGGCTGGAGGGAGGGAGGGGCCGTGGGTGGTTGGCTGGCCAGCCCCGCCCCCGATCGGGATGTTGGGGGCCAATCGGGAGGGGACATGGCTGGCCATGCGGGGGCACCAATTGGGGCCCGGATCAGGCTGGTTGGCTGCTGCAGTGCATCCTTCCTGGATGAAACAGGCTGCAGCCACCGCAGCTGCAAGGAAAGGATTGAGGCAGCCGCGGCTGCGAAGGCCTACTCTTGCACGAATCCTATACTAGAGTTCTGGTGCACAAAAATTCATGTGCTCGGCAGGGGGGAGGGCCCTCAGACTGGCCTGCATCCTCTTGCAGTCCGGGAGCCCTCAGGGGATGTCCACTCTTGCACGGATTTCGTGCATCAGGCCTCTAGTAATAATACAAAAGATAATATAAAAGAACTAACTTTTCCTTGGTAACCCCAGCCTATTTTGTGAATACTGCTGGCTCCTACAATGTCTAATTTAATAAATGATAATGGATATGTCTCTTTATCACGTCATAAGCATTGAGAACAGAAACTGTGTTTCTTTTCATCAATAGTATTTGTAGCTCTGGCCTCCCTCTGTGGGAAGTGAACTGTGGGCCGATCAGGGGATGGCGTGGGCAACAAGTGGCAGGCCCCGCCCCCCCTTGTGCCACTGCCACTGGTGGCCTCCCTCTGCGGGAGGCAACCCTGGCAGGCTGATTGGGGGACGGTGCCAAGTGGCCCCGCCCTGAATTGCCCCGCTGCTGCCACCGCCCATGGCCTCCCTTGGCAGGAGGCGACCGGGTGGGTAATCAGGGGATGGTGCCAGCCCCCATCATCCTGCCACTGGTCGCCACCCCCCCACCCCATCACCGTCCCCTCCCTCTGCCCGCTGGCACGCACCTTGGCTGGCCTAGCGCCACCTGCTCGCCAGCCCTGCCCCCTGCCAACTGGTCGTTCCGCCGTTCAGTCAATTTGCATATTGTGCTTTTATTATATCCTATCTAATAAAGAGGGGATATGCTAATTGACTGTCCCACTCTCAAATATGGTGGCATGCACAGCCACAAGATGGCCAGCATCTGTTTTATTGAATATATTATTCATAATTTATTTTGAAGTTATTGCTTATCATTTCCAATATCTGAGTCCCCTGTGAGTCTGTTTTTATTGTCTATTTTTTCTTGGTCCCTGTCTTTTTATAGAACATGAATTTTTTTATTGGATGCCAAACATTATATTTTAAAAAAAAAATGGTAGAGGCTCCATAAAATGATCACTTTCAGCAGAGAGGCTTCATCCTTTCTCTGGTGGCAGGTAGAATGCAGGGCTGGTCACTTTAATCAATCATAGGTTGAACTTGGTCAGGGCCTACACCAGTGATGGCGAACCTTTTGAGCTCGGCGTGTCAGCATTTTGAAAAACCCTAACTTAACTCTGGTGCCGTGTCACATATAGAAATTTTTTGATATTTACAACCATAGTAAAACAAAGACTTATATTTTTGATATTTATTTTATATATTTAAATGCCATTTAACAAAGAAAAATCAACCAAAAAAATGAGTTCGCGTGTCACCTCTGACACGCGTGTCATAGGTTCGCCATCACTGTCATAG